AGACATACTAAGTCAATATGGGTGCTGAAATTATCTTCCCTTTATTTGTAACATATTTCACTTTCTTATTATCTTTTATTTCTAGAAGTTGTTAATTTGAGTACAGATTCATTTATCAACCTTGTGTTTTATGCTTTCATAATCATTCGTCATGTTTTAGACATTCTGTCCTGACTGAAAATCATTAAAATATTCAGCTACATTTACTTGTCAAGTTTTAGAAACTTTTTTGTAAGTTTACGAATGTTGTAGATAACCAAAAAGATACAGGCTCAGAGTTTTTATCTGAAGTTTTGCATGTGTGAAGGAAATAAGAAGGGGCCCTTGCAGGCTAAAACTGGAAATTACCATACCTCAGTGTAACCCCTCTCCCACGTAGGTTAAAGCTGTCTTTGGTGGTAAAGTAATTTGATTAATATATGGATATGACTTAATATTTTGTAGTTCAAGAATTTTAAAACACTCATAAAAAAGTAAAGAAACTTGTGATGTTCATTGGGAGGGGAGATCTTGTGATTATTGAGGCAGAAACCTGCAGCACTCTGGCAGGGCTGAACTTATCTTCATTGGGAAATTTCAAAAGCTTATTTGTAAAGAGTGCTGATGAGATATTCCATTAAAATATTAAATATCTATTAGCCTGCTAAGACTCCATACACACATATGTACATATAAATATATTTTTGCGTATGTGTATGTACATACATATGTATGTGTGTATATTTACATGTGCATATGTATGCATATGTGTTTATGTAAAACTGCATGTGGAGGGGGTGTGTGTACCCCAAGAAGTATTTGACATGATGGTCTGTATCTTATGACACCTGACTCCATTGATTGCCTCCCTTTGTGGCTTTATGAGTTAAGTATTTACAACTATATTTTCATTGAGCTGTAACACATCTTTCTAGGGCTATCATGTCCCTCACTTTTGTACAGTGGAGGGAGATGGTATGAGGGGAGTTAGGCAAGATGGGTCCTCCCAGGTGGTATCATGTCAGCGGTTTTGTTGTCCACACACAGATTCTCCCTGAAATGGTGTCAGACTGCCTTGTGATGAGGTCCTTCACCGCTCGTGTTGTGATGCCATAGTGCCATCTTTCTTCCCTAGCAGTTAAAGCTGCCTGTGTCTGTAAAAATATAGCTCTCCGGGGTCATCTGAACCCGTCTTATGAATATAAAATGTTTTTCAGGGTGGCTTATGCCTCGGTCACCTTTCCACTGAATCTAAAACACTTACCAGTCTTAGTTTATTGTGGAGACAATTTACCATTCAGTAACCACGTTGTGGATTAAGTGGAGTTTGACGCATGTCCTCCTTGCTTTAAGAGACCATAAAAATAAAGAACAGTTTTGTAAAACTACCAAATATCCTTACACCAAAAGCAGGCTTCAGTTTTCTACTTATTTCTCTGGGTTCTCTTTTCCCTTTGATTTGGTGCTTGTACTTTTTTAATACCTTCAAATGTGTGTCTCTGCCTCTACCTGGGATCTAAAGTATTGTTTTTCGGCTAAGAAGTTGAACTGAATTAGCTAGTTTGCATTGCCCGAAACCACATCTGATGTAATGTATTTTAATCAACTAAATTATCTTATAGATGATCAAATGTTCACAGTGCTGGCTAGGAGAAGCAAGTTGATTGCTTTCTTTGTACTTGTCTATGATCTCATTAGTCTTTGGAATGGCACTTAATTTCTGTCTCAGGAAATCCTAGTCTCACTTTCCCTTTCATTCCTCAAATTTAGAAACAATAAATCTCCAAGAAGATTTAGTTTATATTATAGGAAAACACTTTCAGTCGTGGCCAGTGTTTGGGCATTAGGGTTGTATTTCACGCTAGTGGGATGGAATTCTAGGACTTTTTGAGTGACAGCAATTAAAACAAAAATGTGCAGCTACTTTACAAGTATGGATTTATAAATAAAGTTTTGTGTAATCAATCCTAGTCTTAGTGTTTCTATTAAATACTTTTATTCTATTATGGTACAGGATTTTCTCTTATGCTGAAAAATCTTAAAAGCTAATATTATAAATATCACAGTATTCTAAATTACTTTTGAAGGATGCAGGTATTTTATTTCTGAAACAAAGATCACCTAGCATATTAAATGAGAATAACTTAGTGTTATTTAAATTTTTATATCAAAGACATAATTAGATTTCTTATTTCAAATACAAATAGTTACCTTCCTTTTTTTGGCACTTTGACATATTTGCACATTATGAAGCATGAATTACTCCTTTTATTAAAATTTTTGAATATATTCACTATTCAAAAAACATTAGTGTGGCTGTATTTCACATACACTCTAGACTTGAGAAAAGATAATCACATTACTGAAGATTTTAACAGAAACCAGGTTTTACAAGACGTTATGAACCAAATGAAGAAATTAAGAATTTATCCTAACATCAATAATAAGTGCTTTCAATAGAGCAGTGATATCATTGTTTGTAGCTTAGGAAGGCAACACCTGCCACTGTGTAATAAAGCAATGTATTGAGGTGCTGCTTCTATAAGATTTATTTTTTTAAAGACAGTTCTTGCAGTAAGTAGGCTACATATGATGATGTTCTGTGGTAAAAGCATAGTGAAATAGATATATGTATACATGTCAAGAGGAAGAATCAGAGGTTGCCAGGCAGAGTTGTATGGACAATCATTCATAAGAAATAAAGTGTATTAAATTAAAGTAAGAAAAACACATTGGAAAAACGTTTAGTCACCAGTTTTATGGAGAGGATTAAGGGAAAGAATGACAGGAAAGGGGGGGCCCATTTATGGAGGGCCAGCCTCTGGAGGTTTTATTTTAAGCATGATGGGAGCAAAGACTTTTAAAGCTCTGAATAATTAATCTAAGTAATTAATCTGAGTAATTGATGAGATTACTGTTTTACAAAGGGTGTAGCTACAGCATGTAGAGAATATCTGAGATTTAATCAGATTCGACCAAATAAGGGAGCTGGTAGAATAGTTAGGAAATTACTCATTTTCCAATACTTAAGTTAGTATATATATATATATATATATATATATATATATATATATATATAGTGGCTCCGACACTCAAAAAATACAGTGGGAATGTAATGGTGGAAAAAAAACGTTCCTGTTTTGTAGTATATCCTCATGATACATACAAATAAATAAGTAAAATAATGCCTGGCAGTGGCAAATGATATGAAGAATGGTTGGGAGTGGTATTCTCAGTAAGGTTATTTCAGTAAGGTTATGGGTGACAGCACCTGAGGAGGTCACAGTTGAGTAGTTACATGAAAGGAGCAAGTGAGAGAGCCTTCTGAATATCCAGCGACAGGCATTTATTGCTAGAAGAACCAGCAAAGGCCAAGAGAGCCAGTAAGGTAATAGCCAGGAAATGAGTTGAGAGTTGCTTTGAACAGTGTGTTACCAAAGACGGAGAGAAAAGTGTAAAAAACACGTAAAGTAAAAAAATAAAGAATACAGGCTAACAGACTCACTTTAGTGTAGTAGAAACTAAACTGATTCTTCATGATGTCTCCTAAGAAATGACTTCCCTAAAGCAGGTGTAGGGGCTAGGGGCCTGTACTCGTTTACTAGTGATGACATAACAAGGTGCCACCTACTGGGTGGCTTAAACATCAAAATCTTATTTTCTCAGAGTTCTAGAAGCTGGAAGTCCAAGATCAAGGTGTCGGTGGGGTTGGTTTCTTCTGAGGCCTCTCTCCTTGGCTTGTAGATGGCCATCTCCTGCCTGCGTCTTCACATGGTCTTCTCTGTACCTGTCTATGTCTAACTCTTGTCTTCTTATAAGGACAATATAATATTAGATTAAGGCCCACCTCACATTCTCATTTCACCTTAACTAACTTAAAGGCCCTGCATTCTTATACAGTCATATTCTGAGGTACAGAGTACAGGTTAGGGGTTTAAGATATGAATGCTGAGGGGCACAGATGCCCAAACACTCAGCCCATAACAGTGCCGTTTTCTCAGATTTGGTTAATTTCATTGTAATTATTTTAATGGTGGAGGCTGGGGGTGGGAGAGAGAATTTTATGTGAGACAAATAGCATGCAAAAAATATAAAGAGAGGTATAGGAAATTAAGCGTTGACAAAAAAGAAAAAAAAAAACAGTCCAGAGTGGTGCAAATCTTTCATGGAAGTGACTAAAGGAAAATGCAGTAGAAACGATATACTGGGTAAGAGCACGAATGCCTAAGAGATCTTCACTTTATTATGTAGATTAAGGAGAATTGCTTAAGGTTTATGAGCAAGAAGGTGCTATAAACGGAAGGGTGCTTCAGGTTGACTGATCTGTGGGTAATCTATAGTGAACAAGTGTAAAATACAAGTCTCATTAGCAGTAAAGGTTGTTCATGCTGGAAGCACATCTGTGCACTCCGGGGCTTGGGGAAATTTTTGTTTTGCTCTGGAATGGAGGGAAATTTGTCACAATTTAGTGTTTTTGTATTGACACTTTGAAGGGCATCTTTGTATTTCTGCTACAGACTATCCTTTGTTTCTCTTGTCACGAGTAGAAATAGAATTCTCCCTGATTATGGCTGATTTCATGGAATTTTGTAATGTTCTGCCTGGCAGTAGAAATAAGCTGAGTAGTAGTGTATAACTAAATACAAAAGGAAAAACCATTAAATATAAATATTCACTGCTTATTTTATAATTTGCTAGGATTGCATGAGGACAGGTACATATGTGCACTCAAAGCTGATCTCTAGTTATTTGTGCAAATGCAAAAACTCAGCATGCTCATTTTGAAAACCAGAATTCCTAATACAGTTAGAGGCTGGTACTCACTATTCATAATATACATCACCAAATACGCCACAGTTCCACCTTTTCTGTACCTAGACTTTAACATTATTTATATTGTGTATTACTAGTCAACATCTAATCTAGAGTTTAAGACTTATAATATTCTCTCATAACATGTTAAATTTCAATATTCTATCGAGAACTGTCCCTTCCCCCCGTTGTTTTTTTGTTCTTCGCAGACACCATCCATCTTCGAGTACTTGAATCCTCCCCGGTTGGCACAGCCATTGGAAGTGTGAAGGCGACTGATGCTGACACGGGGAAAAATGCTGAAGTTGAATACCGAATTATTGATGGTGATGGGACTGATATGTTTGACATCATAACTGAGAAAGACACACAGGAAGGCATCATAACCGTGAAAAAGGTACACCGCATCAGCATACATAGGCATCCGGCTGTTTAAAAAGTACAGATTCCAATATGTACCATTCGCTCATGCATTATCCATTAAGAAATCTCACCGTTATGTTCAAATGAGTATTATATTGTGCATAAGTCTGAGGGATTTAAAGCCAAAGATTTCCTTGGACATTTATGACCAAATGTTTTGTTGACTGAAACATAAAACATGAGATTTTACAAAATTTACAAGGCCAAGTTAATATATGTGTGTTTATATTTCTGAGCCATATTAATAAAAGCCCTCCATTATGACATCATTTTTTTAAAAAACAAACAAACAAAAAACAAACAAACAAACAAGAACCAGTTAATAGCTAATAATGGCCATATGTCATAACAATAGGAAGCATAAAAAATAGCATATTATCTATCCAGATGTATGAAGCAATAATTAGAGTTGCTAATAAAAAGAGACAACATGGACTGGAAGATAATTTAATTGTTCACATTTTCCCTTCTGCTACATAAATTAAACTTTTCTACTAATGTATGATCATTGATACAGTTTAAAGGTAAAGTTTTTTTATTGTAGAGTCAGTACCATCATTACAAGAAAAAAAATAAGGCACAGTAAAATTTAGGTCCCAATGAAATATCCTGAACACTCTGTATGCATAAATTAAACCACTAAAGCCTTGGTTAATCATAAAACTCTCCTAACATTTTACTGCACAACCCAAGGTACCCAACCAGCTGTTTTTAAATAGATAGTGACCAGCAAAGGGGAATCAGCTTTCTTGTTATTTTTCATGACTGGGGAGTAAGAGGCATGAAAATAGAATCTGCTGCTTCTCAAATAAAAAAGAAGATTGGGTAATCTGAATCAGCAATGTTTTTGTTTGTAGTTTTTGTTTTTTTGGTTTTTTTTGGTTGACAAAACATACTTTTTAGAGAGGATGAGCGGTGAGGGGCTTGATATTATACTTGTAATGGTTAAACTTATATCAATATTTAAGGTCTTTTTTGTTTCATAATATAACCTAATTCCCAATTTGCTATCACATATTTTTCTTTTTTCTTTACCAAAGATTTTATCTTCAGTTTCATATAATTGTTGAAAGTTTTATATTAGTCTTCAAAATTTCATAAAGTTTATGTGGTGCCATGAGCCCAATAAACTAAGTGGAAAATCACAACATACAAAAAGGTAAATTTTTTGCTTAGAAAAAAATAACAGTAGCCAACACCTCAGCAAACACACACAGTATCTGAGCCCATTTGTTATAATGAGTTACCACCTTACGTTAGGTTTTAACCTTTTCCATTTTTTTTCAAGATTTCAAATCTCATTTTCCTATGTTCTGAAGTCTCACATATTGAATACATAAAAATAAAAAATTGATTCCTATTGATATGTGAATATTGTATTGTTATTTTTATTACTTTCATTTATTTACAGTTAATGAACTTGAGTTAAAGCACCCAATCAGGCTTTACAAATCATGCTGTAACTTGGAAGGAACATATAATCCAATTTCCCTCACTCCAATTTCATGATTTATTCCTTTATGCAGCCACTTGACTATGAGAGCCGAAGACTTTACACTCTGAAGGTTGAAGCAGAAAATACACATGTGGATCCACGTTTTTATTACCTAGGGCCCTTCAAAGATACAACAATTGTGAAAATCTCCATTGAAGATGTAGACGAGCCTCCCGTTTTTAGCAGATCCTCCTATCTTTTCGAGGTCCATGAAGATATCGAAGTGGGCACAATCATCGGGACTGTCATGGCAAGGGACCCAGATTCCACGTCTAGCCCCATCAGGTAATTATGCCATATTTAAGACTAAAAGAGTTTAGGTAAATGCAGAGCTCATGGAATTCTATCTAAAGCTTTTAATGCACTGAAAGTTAAGGAGGTCTCTCAATAAGTTGTACATATATTTGGTGAGCACAAGTGATGAAAGTTGTCTCTGTTTTGGGGCAAGGCATACACAAGCTTCACAGTTGGCTTCAGTTCTAATCATGCCCTTAAACCTGAAACATGGTTTGTATCAGCCACCTGTCTTTTTAAGGTATTTGTTCTGACCCCTAGTAGAGAACACTATTTCACTATTTCAGCTGTACATTTAAAATGTAACCAAATCACTTGATTTGTGCTTTCAGGTTCTGAAGTAATAATATGTGAGGTTGAGATGAGTTTTAAGAGTTAAAAATAATGTAATTATAACAGTGTTACAATGCAGTTATATTATGGTTTTAGAAATTCCCCTATATGCCTGCCGTCAAAGAGAGAAAAGGGGTTTTTGGTTGTTGCTTTGACTTTATCAAAAATTTTTAGAATGTTCCAGAAAGATAAGAGCAATTTCATTTATTTATTTATTTATTTTGCTTTGTTTTCTAATGGCAGACTGAAAACATGAGATGTGATAAATACATAAAATGTGAAAAATTCAGTTTTCACTATTTGTTGTATCATTTTAAAGAAATAAAGATATCTATTAATATATACAATATTCAACATCAAAATGACTGCTCACTTTACTTTTTTTTTAATATATAAATGTGCGTAGCATCTTTTTCTCTTTTTTTAGTTTCAGGTATACAAAGAAATGTAATAGTTAGACATTTATACCCTTTACAAAGTGATAACCCCCCAATCTATTACCCCTTTTACATTGTATATAGCTGTTATTATACTATTGACTATATTCCCTATGCTGTACTCCACAGCCAGTGACTCCAACATTTAATTATAGTTGACATTCAATATTCTTCAACTTCAGCTTCAGGTGTATAGTGCAGTGGGCAGGCATCTACGCAGTCCATGAAGTGATCTCCGTGATAAGTCCAGTGCCCATCTGGCACCCCACATAATCTTTATGACATTATTGATTATATTGCCCATACTTTATTTCATATGCCCTTGACTATATTGTGACTACTAATTTGTATTTTCTAATCTCTTCACCTTCACCCCATCCCTATGCCCTTCCCATCTAGCAACCATCAGTTGTTTTTTTTCCTAAACCTCTGAATCTATGTGTTTTGTTTGTTCGTTTATTCTGTTCTTTAGATCCTACATATAAGTGAGATCATATGGTATCTGTTTTTCTTCGTCTGACTTATTTCATTTAGCGTAATATTCTCTAGGTCCATATTATTACAATTGGTAAGATTCCATTCTTTTTTATGGCCAAGTAACACTCCATTGTATAAATGTACCACAGTTTCTTTATCCAGTCATCTATTGATGGGCATTTTGGTTGTTTCCATATCTTGGCTATAGTGAATATTGCTGCAATAAATATAGGGGTGCATATATTTTTTTGAATTAGTGTTTTGGATTTCTTTGGATAGATACCCAGAAGTAGACTTGCTGGGTCATAAGGCAGTTTCGTTTTAAATTTTTTGAAGTACCTCCATACTGTTTTCTATAGTGGCTTCACCAATCTGCATTCCCACCAACAGTGCACCAGGGTTCCCTTTTTTCCACAGCCTCACCAGCACTTGTTTGTTGATTTATTGATGATAGCCATTCTGAAAGGAATGCGGTGGTATCTCATTGTGGGTTTTATTTGCATAATCGTTAGAGAATGATTAGTGATGTTCAGCATTTTTTCATGTCTGTTGGCCATCTGTATGTCCCCTTCAGAGAAATGTCTCTTCATGTCCTCTGCCCATTTTTAAATTAGGTTGTATGTTTTTTTAGTGTTCAGTTGTCTGAGTTTTTTATAAATTTTGACTATTAACCCCATGTCAGATGTATCACTAGCAAATATCTTCTCCCATTCAGCAGCATGCCTTTTTGTTTTATTGACGGTTTCTTTACTTTGAAAAAACTTTTAGTTTGATGTAATCCCACGTGCTTGTTTTTTCTTTTTCTTCCCTTGCCCGAACAGATATGTCAATAAAAATATTACTAGGGGTAATGTCTGCAAATTTACTTCCTATATTTTCTTCTATGAGTTTTATGGTTCCCTGTCTTACATTTAAATCTTTAACCCATTTTGAATTTATTTTTGTATATGATGTAAGAAGCTAGTCTAGTTTCATTTTTTTGCATGCATCTATCCAGTTTTCCCACCATCATTTATTAAATAGATGGTCTTTACTCGAATGTAAATTCTTGTTTTTATTGTCATAGATTAAATGGCCATATAGACATGGATTTATTTCTGGGCTCTCTATTCTGTTCCATTGTTCTATATGTCTGTTTTTATGCCAATGACATGCTGTTTCGATTGCTATAGCCTTGTAGTATGATTTGAAGTCAGGTAACATGATACCTCCCACTTTGTTCTTATTTCTCAAGATTGGTGTCAATTTGGGGTCTTTTATGGTTCCGTATAATTTTTTTTTAAAAAGATTTTATTGGGGAATTGGGGGAAGGGGAACAGACAAGTTGCTGTCATTTTGTTCTTCAATCTAGTTGTGGAGGACGTTGCTTCACTGGCCCAAGTTGGCACCATCATTGCGCTCTTCCCGGGCGAGGCAGATCAGTCGCCGGCTTCTGGGTGGCCGCTCACTGCGGCTGCTGGCCGCTCATGCTGGCTGCTGGCTACACACGGTAGCCCATGGCAACCCACTGCCACAGGGACTGCAGCCTAAGCCGTCGCCGGCGACTCAGGGCAGCCCAGCTCCAGGTTGAGCTGTTGTTCAGCATCTTAGCTGTAGAGGGCAGTGTCACTGGCCCTCATATGTGGATCCAAACCGGGGTCCTCTGGCATCCCAAGCCAGTTCTTAACCATCGCGCCACTCGGCCGGCCCGGTTCCGTATAAATTGTAGGATTACTTGTTCTAGTTCTGTAAAAAAATGTCATTGTTAATTTGATAGGTATTATATTGAATCTATATACTGCCTTAGGTAGTGTGGATGTTTTAACTATATTACTTCTTCCTATCCATGAGCATGGTATATGTTTCCATTTATTTGTATCTCCTTTAATTTCTCTCTTCAATGTCTTATAATTTTCTTTTGCTTCCTTGGTTAAATTTGTCCCTAAGTATTTTATTGGTTTTGAAGAAATTGTAAATGGGATTGTTTTCTTTATTTCTTCTCTTGATAGTTTGTTATTGGCGTATACAAATGCACCTGTGTTCTGAATATGAATTTTGTACCTGCTACTTTACTAAATTCATTTATCAGTTCTAATGGGTTTTTGGTGGAATCTTTGGGGTTCTTTATGTATAGTATCATGTCATCTGCATATAATGACAATTTTATTCCCTCCTTTCTGACTTGGATGGCTTTTATTTATTTTTCTTGTCTGATTGCTGTGGCCAGAACTTCCAGTACTATGTTGAATAAAAGTGGTGAAACTGGGCATCCTTGTCTTGTTCCTGATCTTAAGGGGAAAGCTTTTAGCTTTTCCCCATTGAGTATGATATTAGCTGTGGGTTTATCAAATATGACCTTTATTATGTTGAGATATGATCCCTCTATTCCCACTTTGCTAAGAGATTTTATCATAAATGGCTGCTGGGTTTTGTCAAATGCTTTTTCTGCATCTATTGATATGACCATATGATTTTTATTTTTTATTCTGTGAATATGGTGTATCACATTAATCGATTTGCGGATATTGAACCAAACTTACATACCAGGAATGAATCCCACTTGATCTTTTTAATGTATAGCTGAATTTGGTTTGCTAATATTTTGCCGAGCATTTTTGCATCTATGTTCAGTAGGGATATTGGTCTATAGTTTTCTTTTTTTGCAATGTCTTTGTCTGGTTTTGGTATCAGGGTAATATGGCCTCATAAAATGAGCTTGGGAGCCTTCCCTCCTCCTGGATTTTTTGGAATAGTTTAAGGAGAATGGGTGATGATTCTTTTTTGAATGTTTGGTAAAATTCGACTGTGAAGCCACCTGTTCAGGGCTTTTGTTTGTTGGGAGCTTGTTGATTACTGATTAAATTTTGTTGTTAGAAATTGGTCTGTTCAGATTTTCTGTTTCTTCTTGATTCAGCCTTGGGAGATAGTATGCTTCTAGAAATTTATCCATTTCTTCCAGATTGTCTAATTTGTTGGTGTATAATTGCTTGTAGTATTTTCTTAATTCTTTTTTATTTTTAATTTCTGTGGTGTCTGTTGTCACATCTCTCATTTTTATTTATTTATTTTTTAATATTTTTATTGGGGAATTGGGGGGATGAGAACAGTGCTGGGGAATTGGGGGAAGGGAAACAGACATGTTGCTGTCCTTTTGTTCTTCAGTCTAGTTGTGTAGGACGTTGCTTCACTGGCCCAAGTTGGCACCATCATTGCTCTCTTCCCTGGCGAGGCAGATCAGTTGCCGGCTTCTGGACGGCTGCTCACTGCGGCTGCTGGCCGCTCACGCTGGCTGCTGGCTACACACGGTAGCCCATGGCAACCCACTGCAGCAGGGGCTGCAGCCTACACCGTCACCGGCGACTCACAGCAGCCCAGCTCCAGGTTGAGCTGTTGTTCAGCATCTTAGCTGTAGAGGGCACCGTCACTGGCCCTCATATGTGGGATCAGAACCAGGGCCCTCTGGTGTCCCAAGCCAGTTCTTAATCAATGTGCTACTCGGCCAGCCCTCTCATTTCTGATTTTATTAATTTGGGTTATCTCTCTCTTTTTCTTGATGAGATTCGCTAAAGGTTTGTCCATTTTGTTTATCTTTTCAAAAACCAGCTCTTGGTTCATTGATCTTTTGTATTTTTTTTTTTTGGTCTCTATTTTGTTTATTTCTGCTCTGTCTTTATTTCCTTCCCTGTACTCCCTTTGGGCTTATTTTGCTGTTCTTTTTCCATTTCCCTTAGGCGTAAAAATTAACTATTGATTTGAGATTTTTCT